GTAGGCTCCTACAATAAATCCGAAGTATACAACACGGTGTGAGTGGAGCAAGTAAGCAGAAGTGACCAGGGAGAAGACGAAGTCTCCAACAGCAGAGTGTATTTTTCAATTGTACACGGAAGTTATGTATATTTCAACAAGAAGCGTTTTAAACAAAAATTATGTACAATATCTCGAATTTATACAAGTAACCAAAAAGTGTACAATCACATTGTTACGTACTCAACAGCCCCATCTCTTAACTTGGTGTCGGGAAAAGCCCATGATAGATTTGATCGAAATCTGCTGCATACCATCAGGAAGGCTGGATTCACTGAAAATGTCACGATGGATACTAGATGGGGCCCGGATGGGAAGTCTTCTAGACTGGATTATGTGCTCACTAGTGAACAGCTACTAGTGGAAAACGTTCAGATCACGACTTCCATAGGTAGTAGTGACCACGCGGCCATAGTATTCGACATAGTCCTCCGCGAGCGCTTACAGTGGCACAATACACAGCCCTATCTGTGTTATAACAAAGCTAATTACACCGAAATGCGAAGACTTCTGTCTGAAGCAAATTGGCCTAAAAATGGACAGAGCTAACAGTAGAAAAACACTGGAGAGTGGTAAAGAAGGAATCGATATAACATACGAGTCCGGAGCGATAGAAGGACATTTCGGGGAAACCTCGCCAATAAGCTTCTCGTGAACCCCAAAAGCCTATGCAGGTTTATGTCTGAGAGAAATCCGACCAACCAGGGAGCATGCAATCTAGTGGGCTCTGATGGGAAATCTCTTACTAGTCTTGAAACGGCAGAGACATTCAGCCTAGCCTTTCACAGGCAACTAAACAGCAACGAGGATATTACCCACACAGAACATCCAGATTTCATCGCAAAACCAACGCGGCTATGGTACTTGCAAATTTGGAAAGTCTGGCTTCGGGAAATTCTTCAGGTTGTGATGACATCAGACCATCCATCTTGAAGCAGTGTTCAGAAAGTCTCTGCCAACCCCTGAGTGATCTGTTCCAACACTCCCTTGATGTAGGGAAACTTCCATGTGAATGGAAACGAGCAATCCTATCCCCTATCTTCAGGGGTGGTGACCGGCAGAATGCGACCAGTTACAGACCGGTTGCTCTACTTCCAGTGATATCGAAAATATTGGAAAGTCTCATTGACGACCACATGAGAAAATACTTCGATGCGACTAACCTTCTTCACGAAGCACAGCACGGTTTCAGGAGGGGAAGATCCTGCGTGACGAATCTTCTACTAGCTTGGAACGATTGGACAGTAACCTGGGACGAAGAGGTGCCAAACCGCGTGATCTTTCTCAGCTTTGCGAAAGCATTCGACACAGTTCACCATGGTCTGCTGCTTCACAAGATAAGCAAGGTGGGTGGTTCTGGAGCACTTCTCGCATGGCTGAAAGATTACTTAGGCGAGAGAGAATTCTGCACCAAAGTCAACCGCATCCGATCATCCTGGTACAACTCGGCATCAGGGATTCCTCAGGGTTCTATCCTAGGGCCGTTTATGTTTTTGATTTTTATCAACGACTTTCCCCCCAACTAAACTGCTCTGCGCTTCTTTACGCTGACAACGTAAAGATTTGGAGAGCAATAGACTCATCGGAAGACTCAGACAGATTGCAGGCTCACCTGCAAACTCTGGGAGACTGGGCTCTGGCTAACGGAATGTCTTTCAACCTAAAGAAGTGCAAAGTAGTGCAACTTCATTCTGGCAGGTCACAGAGTGTAAATTACACCCTTGGTGGCCAGAACTTGAGTTATGTTCCATCAGAGCGCGGTCTAGGTCTTATTCTAACAGAAAAGCTAGACACCAGTGGAAATTATGCGAGGGACGTCGCCAAAGTCTACGCAAATTTACACTTTATGCATAGGCAGCTGGGAGCTCTCACTCCCAAACTGTTCTTAAGGTTATATAAGACATATGTGAGGTCACACCTTGAGGTGCATAATATCATTGCTCCTCCGCTACTCAAAAGGGATGCTAACATTCTAGAAAGTGTCCAGAGACGAGCAACAAAATGGACGATCGGCCTCCGCAACAAATCATATGAGGAACGACTAAAGAAATTAGGTCTTTTCACACTTAGTCACCGAAGGCACAGATGAGACCTCATCACCGTCTAACAGATCCTAAATGACAAGACCCACACAAATAAAAGCATCCTGTCATTAAGTGATTATAGGCTTCCACGAGGTAACCCACTAAGGATAGCACACCAGAGACCAAAGACTCGAGTGCGCTCACATTTCTCTTCTCTTCGAGTTTGCCGTCTCTGGAACGCTTTACTGGCAGCTGTGACTACAGCGCCACCTCTGGAGATTTTTAAGCGGAAGCTAGACAATCATGCAGAAATGCAAGCTTTTTATCTCAATGACTTATCCTCATAATTTTATTCATATTTTAAGTAAATCAGATGCAATATTGTGACAAATGCTGAGAATTCCATTCTGTATCATAAGTATTGTTTTTGGAATAAAGTAAGATAATAATAATATTTCATACATTTATTCCTCTTAATGAATTTGAACAATGCAAGAACTACAGTTTTAGCAGAATAAAATGGTACCATCTTTTATTTCGTTGCCTTCTCGTCAGCTGCTTACATGGTAAAGACATTATTAAATATATCTACAACAACAATTTTAACATACTTGCACAGAGTTCAGTTTAAACAAAAATCAATCGATCAATATACGCATACACTAAAAATATATACATATATAAATATGCAATATTAACCACCATTCCGAACAATAATAATCAAACACAATGGAAACTTTAAGCATTTCACATTCGGAGGAAAGAGAGGTGAAATTATCCAGTTACCAGGGCAAAGAAAGGCTGATAACCGCTTCTTTCTGGACGCATAAATCAGGTTTCATGCGCTTGATCGAAATGGCTTCAGCAAACTTAAGGAGAATTGAGCTATTTTGCTTATTGATAATTTTGAACGACTTTTCAACGTCCACCTCATGACCCGTGTCGAGAAGATGCCTGGTGATGGCACTGTTTAAAGCATTTGTTCCCTTTAGACGTAAGCTTTTTGGTACATGTTCAGAAAATCGTAGATATGCCCTTCTTTCTGTCCTTCCAATGTAACTGCTCCCGCAGATACATGTAAATTTGTATACACAGTTGGAGGTAACATGAGAAGGATATCTATCGATTTTTGATTGCACCAAAGAGCAAGTTGTTCGATAGACGGGAACGAGCTTAGCTGTAGGATACGCTATGGCTAGTGATGTACTCAGCCTTCTGTTGATCATCGCTGCAATATTTTCACCCTTATAATCAAGCTGAATGTAGACTGGCTTTTTTCCACTGTGATTTGTTTTACTCTTGTGACTTCAGATCTTCCATACTTGTTGATGAACCTTTGAGGATACCCATTTCTCTTCAATATATTTTCAAGGAACTCAAACTCCTCCTCTAGTTTCTCTGTAGAGCATATTCTCCTCGCTCTATAGTACAAAGTTTTGACTAGACCACGTTTAAAGCTATGTGGACAAAAGCTATTAAAGTGCAAGTATTGTCCTTTTCATGTGGGCTTTCGATAAATTGACTTTTGGAGACCACCGTCTTCTAGGCGTTCCATGGCTATGTCGAGGAAGTGAAACTTTCCGTCACTTTCGTGTTCCATAGTGAAGTCAATATTGGCGTGTGCATCATTGAATAATCTTAGTAAGTGTGAAGCATGACTTTTATTGTTGCACACTATAAATGTGTCATCAACATAACGACAGTAGGAAGATGTCTCGTCGATTGCATGCTTCAGCTTTGTTCTTTCAAGGTTAGACATGAAAATATCTGCCAAAACAGGGCTAAGTGGACTGCCGATAGCTACACCATATATTTGGCGGTAAAACGTGCTGTCAAATAGGAACTGCACATCCATGGTGCACATAAGCAGAAGGCGTTTGAATTCAGATTCTGGAGTGGGAGAAGATCGGACTGCTGACAGATGATTTCAATGGTTTCATTGACTGGAATCATTGTGAATAGGGAGGTTATATCAAATGACCGCCAAATAGATGGTGTAGCTATGGGCAGTCCACTTAGCCCTGTTTTAGCAGATATTTTCATTTCAGGTGACAATCGCCCTCATTCGGTGCGTTGCGTGAAATAAACACCTTACTAGTGCCACACATGGACACGTTGTCAAGCCTCAGAGATTACTCGCTGAGGATTCTGCACTATCAAAACTACTTTTGCAATAAATCCCCCATTATCAACATCGTTTCTGTTATCATCATTATCATTGACATTGAAGTAATTAGTATTGTTATTATGAATTGAGACCGTTATCTGTAATTAATTATGATGATAGTTGTATTCATAAGTCTTCTGAATCAGCAGAGAATCTTATGCACAATCACTCGGTTATGGTGTGTTCCCCCTCTTCATGATACTGTGATTTTCTGTATGCTTTAGCACGCGATATTTCACAATTCATTGTATTACATTCGGAAGTGGGTCATGTTAGGGTGAGCAGTAATATTTTCAGAACTCATTCACCTTAATCTTGTGCAATATTAGAATTCAAACACCTTATGTGTGCGTGTGTGAGAGTTTATCTTAAATAAAATTTCCACTCATGATAAATTAAGTTTAAATAATAAAAATTTCTCAACTATGAAACGACACGCAGCAAGAGACAAGACGATAAGCCAGCAACTAACTATCACACAATCTCAAAACAGCGTTTGCAGGATAATTGAGATGAAGCGTGTTAAAGGGTGGTGGTGATAAACCATCAGGTATACCAACAATGAAAACAGATATTCCATCGCACACGCACTCACAACACCCAAACTACTAGAAGATGCTTGTTTTATGTGTGAGAGTTTCACACAAAACAGTGAGTGCATTGTAGAAAGCGAAAGGGCACACGAGGTGAATCTCAATTGTTTTCCCAACGTTGGAGTATAAATAGCCTACAACACAGCCATGATATTATAGCTTCTTTGAAACAGAGAAATGGTCAAGGAAGATATTGTCCTACTGAAAGGCGTCGTTCTGCTTATTTCATGTAAGTCATTTTGCATATTCACTTCAACGGTAATGACGCTATTCCACTTGGGTCACACACACACACAGACACGCACACACAAAATGTCTTGTGTCAGTTTCAAGTCTTCCACTGCATGCAATTAGTGCTTGATGTACCCTCCTGAACACAAGTATCCGAATGAATTGAAAATACTAGATACATGTGGATTTTCTGTGCAGGCTTCCGAAGGTGTTTCCCCTCTATCTCAATCATTGACACCTATCGTTTTATAAGCACTCTGATCAGATAGAATGAGGGTGAAAAAGATGAAAAGACGACTGTTGCATGAAACATGCACGTTTCATGTGATTTCGGAGAATATTTGTCGCACGAATACGTCATATCTTTGCACAGTTGATACAGGTGTGCTGATAACAGCCACGTATGTCTCTCACCTACTCTCGAGCCACTTCAGACAGTTGGAGCGATGAGTAGGCGCAGAGTTTGCGTGGAATACAATAACATGAAACTGTGACTAGTAAATATGTGAGATGAATAAGCATCAATATCTCTGCATGACTGTTGTAATTATTTGTAATCGTAGTATTAGTTTTTCGATATGACCGAATTACAAGAATTCAACCAAATCACAGAGAGGGCGGAATTCAGGAATTTGTATCAGGCGGAATTATAATGCAATTCATATAAGAAATATGTTAACAATCAACAGTAAGTATTTAAAGAATAAAGAGATAGAAATTGTCAATCACCACATCCCCCACACGTCGAATATCTCCTTGCGTATTTGTAACGATGTCTCGTTTTGCTTGCAAGTAGCTTCGACCTTCTCACTGATTCTGTGATATTACTTTCATCAGTTTTATCTGGACTTATTTCTGAATTATCTACAAAATCAGGATTATTAGCGGAATCAATAATATTATAATTGGAACGACCTACTTCATTTATTGTCACTTTGTCCAGGTGTCTGTTATGAACTGAGTGATCTTTGATGTCTAATATCTTCACCACTCGATTTCCCATTTTTTGTAGTACGATTCCAACAGAAGGTCTATAGTCATTCCCTTTGTAATAATGTACATTAGAAGTCGCGGACATCAGATGCTTTTTGAGAATTCGAGATTTGAATAGTTTTGCAGGACTTTCATGAGTACTTGTATGTTCTGCATTCAACAGACGCAGTCTATGCATACGCAGTAATTCCTCCATTTTAATTAGTTGCTCTCTCATCTCATTCAGTTTTTTTCGTGTTTTCGACAGTTCGCATTGTAACTTGGCTACCACATTTTTGAAAACAGTTGACGCTTGAGTTGCTGAACTTGTAGTGGAGGTTTTCATTGGATGAGATTGATTATTTTGAAAAGTTGAAAGACACATTGACTCCATTTTACTAGACAGATTGGGAGAATTATAAGAATTCTGAGTAACATAAGTATTCGAACTTCTGCAAACAGTCTTGATGTGTCCAACTTTACCACATTTATGGCACTTAGCACCCCGAAAACGGCAAGTGCTTCGTAGATGTAACTTTCCACAGGAAAAACACGGTTTAATGTTTTTGATCTCTCGCTGCATTCTATTACATGTGGACGGCAGTTTGGATTGCTTTCCATGAACACTTGTATTTTCGACTTCGGAAAACATGACATCAGATACTGACGTAGTGGGAGAAGAGTATTCATTATTGACATCTTCTTACATATGAAGATGTACATAAATTTTAAGCAGTTTGAAAGGTACAAGAAGGAATCTGAATTAACTCTTTCTCTAACTTAGGAATATTGATTCCAGCAATTAGACGATCACGTAGTTGAGTATACAGCTGATCTCCAAAGTTACACTTTGAAGCTTGTATTTGGAGTTGAAGAATAAAGTCTCTTATCTTCTGGTTGGGAGCACGAACCAGTTTGTTGAATTGAGCCCTCTCTCTGGTCTCAAATGTAGTCACATGAAAGTGATTTATCAGAAGTTCACGAATCTTGACATATGACAGAGAAATGGGTTTATCTGGAAACGCCAGAGTCTTTACTAGGATATATGCATCTAGCCCAATAGCAGTGATGAAATTTGCTGGTATTTTGTCATCCCGAACGTTCTTTGAAATGCACCATGCATTGAAGCATTCAACGTAATCAACAATCTCCCGCGGTGAACCATTTATAAGAAATTTTCCATCGCAACGCCAATTTGTAGTAATTATTTGTAATCGTAGTATGAGTATTTCGAGATGACCGAATTACAAGAATCCAAACGAAACACAGAGAGGGCGGAATTCAGGAATTTCTATTTAGCGGAATTATAATGCAATTCATATAAGAAATATATTAACAATCAACAGTAAGTATTTAAAGAATACAGAGATAGAAATTGTCAATCACCAAAATATCGTATGAAACTTGTGTCATCCAGTTTCAAGTGTCACGTCTATGAAGATTTTTCATGTGAAAGCACTTCACCATATGCATTTCTTCTCATTTCAGTGTTGATCGCCATCCACGATGTGAAGACATATACACTAAAAGGTGAGTCAGACGGAGTTTCTGTGAATTAGTTTATCTTCATGTTAAGAAGGGATGAGCTAGACATTGAACGAGGGAAATCGGTCTCCTGTCTAAAATTCATCTTCGCGACTCATTCCAACAGGTAGACAACGACATCTTCCATCCTAGTGTCCCACTCAACTATCTTAGAGACAGACTTACATCAACTGCACGAACAATATCTCCGTTGAGTGTTCGCTTCAGTTAATAGGGAGTTTCGTGTCACCGACTCCAGCTTATTGCACCTTCCATCATTTCTCAAAAACACAGTTGTATGAAACTCCCTGCTTCAGTAAAGTCTGTTAATTTATTTTACAATCTGGACGAACTTGAGGTGGAGTTTACAGATTCAGTATTTCAGTGGCCTGCTTTATTATGCGCAGTGACAGGAGAGAGTCGTGCTTAACCAGCACTGGATGTTTGTTTTCAATACAAGTTAGATTTGTTTGTCAGATTTACACTCTGCAGGCGTAATCGGTTAACAATTGATACCGGCCACCAGTTCGCCTCCGACATTGGTTAGGCTGACTTAAATGAAGTGTATCGTGCATGCTACTGACCTGTGGGTCGGACTGAATAATATATTGCTTAGTCACGCTTTCATGATTCAAAAGTAGAATTGCTTTCTGACTTGCGCATTCCCGTTGATCAGTTTCACTGGTATATTGTTGCTGTCAAAGTTATCAACACTAATCTCTTGTTTCACCCATATGAACCACATCCGATTTGCAGACAACTTGACGGATGCCATACAACAATATAGTCACGTATATCAAAAGGCCGAGTTGGTGGAATGTAAGTGAATAAAAGTGATTCTCTTTGTCCACGGATTCTCTTTGTTCATTGACGATTACTTGTATTTGTATTTGTGTTCATCACATGCATGTCTTGTTAAGTCTCCTGAGAGGATTCTACAATCCCTTCTTCTCGTTCATCTAGATGACCTGCTGAAAATGGCGACCAATAAAGACTTGAAATTCACACAAGAACAGTTTGAAATCGGTGAGTTAAGGGATAGTGTGAAGTGTGCTCAGTACAAGCGATACGATCCTTCTTGTGTTTGTGAATAGTGTAGACACTTTCCCATTGCTTCTGTTTACGTGTGCAATAAATTGACGCGTTCAAACTACTGAACATTTCCAGTTCAGAACACGTTCTCTGACCTTCATTCATGTATTGTCAAAGGGAGCATTATGAAGTTTATATACACAAGCCTAACCTTGGCCAAACATGGATTTATATATATATATATATATATATATATATATATATCTGCTTCGACGAGTCTTTTCAACTCACTGTCGATTCGTGCAGTTTACAGTTAGAAGGACGAAGTCAGTTTCACATGCACATCATTTCACCTCCCTCAGACGGTTGTCTCTGTGATTGAAACATCCTGTGAAGAGAATGTCTTGTCTGCTTGCTCATGATATATTTACTTCTTGCATCACTTGCTTATTATCTGTCGTCTCGATTTCAGAGCATCAGAAAGTGGAGCGCGAATACATGTTGACATGGGCAGTTGCTTATCTTGAAGGTATGCTATGCATATTCCTCTCATCATATTGCCTATAAATAATGAGACTAATTGTGATTCAGCGTATATTGTGAAATAGACCTCATCATCTGTCTACCAGGAGGGCTTTCACATTACTCAAGACAATATTATTCACATCTGTGTGCAGTGTGACTTCACTAGGAATCGTAACCACATTGTTTGTGATCAACTCACCTCTTGACACACATTTCAGGATGAAGCTATTCACAGGAATCTTCGACACACACGTCCCTCTTCCTTTCAACATCACCTCACTCAACTCAGGATGTTCCCAGTGAATTCCATACGAATTTACATGTATATCTTGATAACGAGTAGAAGTGAGCATGAGTATGTTACAGACGGCGTGTATTGCTGTCAGGGTAGTTAGTGAATAATAATGACAGTGATCTGGGCTATTCACACCATCCAAACTCCGACTGCACAGAATTTAAAGTGGATTCACTGTTTGCTAAGCTGTCCGAATATTTACATCATCGTGCAACGTTTGACGTTCACAATTCGGACGAGTCAATCACATGCATGCATATAACTTCACTCCATCTGAAAATCTTTATGACGAGGCTTATTACTTTTGTTTCCATTCAATCTGTTAGCTGTGAAAGATATCTGGGGATTGAGAAATAATGCAGACATCGCGAAACTACAACTTCAATATTCAGGTATGCATTTGCACAACACTTATGTGTGAGTGAGAATTTGTCATGCGAATCACACACTCATATGAATAGCTTCCCAACATGAAATCCAACACCGGATATTGATTGCATCCTCATGGAGCGTGTATTTAACCAAATGGCGAGTTCTTCGCCTGTATTAGCATTCTGTCCACAATGTATCCGATGGATTCACTCAAATGTCTGTGATCGGTTTTTGTATTACAGGTGAATCCTCTAAAATTCCTAAGAACTCATGTAAGTTCTGGTTAATTTGAAGTGTCTTTTCTGTCATGTGAAGAATCCACATGAAATACGTCCACGGAGGTCTGACTTCGTCAGAGTTTGACACGTGAGAATTGAGTGTAATCGTCAGTTTTCTTTGCATGAATATCGCGTGTTAACACCTAGTCAATTCATTGATAAGCTACTGGAAGCCTTGATGACAGACGGACCAATACGCACACACATACACACACACGCACACACCCGACGTGGTTTCAGACCACATCTCTTCACCAACGGGATTGGTGTGAAATCCGCTTATCGGTATATGCTCACTATGGAACATCAGCCACTGCGAAACACCAGTGTATTTCCTTCATCGAAAAGAGTATTTTGTTCTCCACTAATCACACTTTGAAATGCCTAATGGTAATGTTTAGTGGAGTAAATTCGTGTTGAATCTTCGTATTCCAGGTTATCACATGGAAAGTAGAACGGAAAATGAGAACACTCGAAAAACAATACGATACGGTGAGCGAGATTCATTATCTTTTTCGACTGTGTGTGTGACAAGTGGACTGATACACATTTACATGAGAATAAGGACGGTGATCGAGAAGGCGTGGAGACAGAAATCACTTGTCCAATGATCCGAAGACGATTGCATGTAAAGAGAATGGCGAAAGAATAGTATTCGCTCTCGAAATAACCTGACCACTTACCTCTAGATGAGTTGAAGCATGCGTTTCTTCTGCACAACACTATGATGAAACTTCTAAGATGTGAATACACACCGAGACGCCATGAGGAAATGAAATCACCTCTCGAGTCATTTAAAATATGCATCATTCCCGGTCAGCTTGTGTCTACCACTGTCGACAACTTGAACATCTCGAACTGCAGCCGAAATGCATTGCTCTCAGTTTGTTTCAAACCTGTCCACTCAACCTGACTGCACACCAACGTGGTGATCTACACTTCTGCTCAAATCACTTGACGATACCTGTGCTGGATATCACGGGATAATTGACAGCATTAGTGACTATACTGAGTAGTTCCGAACTGTAGACCTCACATATGTCGGACACACGACAATCTAGACAGTTCCACTTCACTCTCCTAGCTCCACGCTATGCCCAAATTCAAATTCAATTCGAATGTGGATCACCCATGAAAGTGATCGTTCTCATTTGTGATGTGTATGTGAGTTTGATCTCTTCCGCCTTATCATCCTCTGTCTATCGTATGTGTTGTTTACTGACAACAGGTTGCGATGTCATGCATAAATATGCTTCGTTGAAATGGCAGACCAGATTACACCTAGATAACTTGTCAGGTGAGTTCAAGTTGGATGAATTGTATGCAGTATATTTTTGATCATGTGGTGACTAAGAAATGGTAACAGAATGATTTCACGTAGAGATTCAACTCAACTTCAACTACTTTCATGTGATCGATTGACTTTTGAAAAAGAATTCCTGTGTGTTGTGGCTCAGAAATCCAACGTCAGCATTTATCAGGATATATCTTGTCCAATTCACAATCACATATTTCATCATGTCGAAATGTAAAGAAGTAGTGTGAATATGTTTTGCCAGTCTTAATTTCAATTTCACCATTGATCAAACATTCACAAGGAATTCGCCACCGCCATTCTCCTCTATTAGATATGTGTGCTCATCGTCGAGTCTCACTGATTTGCTTTCAAATAGTCACATTTCACAGTTAAGGAGGTGTTTTCATGTCTCTCTTATCTGTGCTTCTCCCAAAAGCTAAATATCTGCAAGAACTGGATAGAAGAGACTCCTCAGAATATTTGGAAGACAGAGGTGAGTTGAAATCAGTGTTTCGCTGATGTTCACGAGTGTATTTCATCTGATTGCATTTCAGTTCATGTTGTTTGCATGTCACCGAGAATTTGCAGTGGGACGGAGTTCAGAGGAAGTCAGTCTGCAAAGACTCGAAGTGAAAATGAGACTAGCATCGCTTCTGATATTTATGCAGCGACTGTCATCAGAACTGGACTTCAAATGATTTGAGATGAGGTCATTCGAAGCACATTTCCAGTACATGAAGGACGGTAGTGAGAATTCACTCCTACGTTCCCCTCCATGCAGATATTCACAAAATCATTCAGGATAATCTCATTTTATATTGTATGAAACGTTTCCGTGTACATTAGAATAGAGCCAGTAGCTGAGCGTCTGATTGAGAAGTGAATATTTCTTCTCTCAATTCTCTGGTCTTTTAAATGACTAAATGGAGATTTTCTCCATATTGAAGTCACATTTCTGCTAGTTTCTCCCAATGTGCTTGCTAATACTGAACATGACCAAACGTGGAACACTCGCAGGTATCACACACACCAGTGCATATTTCACGTTTCGGCTTGAATCACAAAGCCTTGATTTCTCATCGAGACGTCTACCATGATATTCGACTAAGGGTTGAGTTAGAAGATGAGAGAGAAGTCGTTCGAGGTTTCACGCAGGATGATTGCTTAGCATTCTCTCGTGTATCATTATCACGGAATTTCATTTTGTCATCACTTGAATAGGTGTAAATTATTTCTTGAAAAAAGAGGGATTCGCGAATGCCAAAGCCATAATGCAGATCCATCGAGGTGAGTGATATTTTGTCTTCTTCTTGTCCTCCTCCTCCTCCATCATCATCATCTTCATCATGGACTCGAATCACCACTCATTGTGGCCGTGAATTCCACACAGTCATTCGAAAGGATTTCTTGCATTCGATGTTTGATTTCAGGACACTCTACCACATCCGCACACCACTCTGAACTGATTCAGGCGACAACAGTCGCGGTCTGTAGACGAGTCTTCCGTGTGCTTCCCTTATCATTCGCTAATTTATGCTCACAAGTCTTGTTTCCAGCATTCATATCATGACTGCATGAAATTGGATTTCCGCTTCACATGTGTTTCAGGTTTCACTGAAAAATACTGTCTGTCAGCATTGAACGAATTCATCAAGTACGAGGGCGTAAAACGTGAGTTGAGTATTCCGTGTATTACACTTTTGAAAAGAGAACTCGACATTTTCAGCAGGAGAACACAGTCACACATTGAAGTGAATATTGCATTTGAGCGAGAACTGATTTCAAAGCTAACCTCTTCTTTGAGATTTCCGACACAATTTTGAATTCATTTCATTTGACCTGATAGACAGTGATGTAAATCGCAAACAGTCTCTCCACTCTGCTAATCGTGCTCATTTACTTCTCATATTCACTTACAGTTTCATCGGACTCAAACAAACAAATGAAGGTGCTTAATGACGCGGTGGGAAATTTCAACAAATCTGCTGGTGAGTTGAACAAATCGTCTATCTATCAGTGTCACTAGGGAGAGTGAGTAATCCATGTGCTTCATGCACCAGATTAATAAATTCCACGGTTCAGTGATCATGTCGTCTTCACCCTATCTTGGGGAATTCTTTTGATTTCCTGCTACCCTGGCAAAAAAGTGACTTGTCTCACATTTCGCTTAGCTCCTCTACTCCTCAGATGGATAGTGTTGCAAGACTCCTCAACAGAACAAGCAAGTCAACCTCATCATCCAGGTCATGAGTGTCTTTATCATCAAAGAAGCATCACCCTCGGGAAGTTGGGAGTTATGTTATGCTTCCAGGAGACTTGATACGGCGTTGTTATGGAGCAACATCTTCGAACTTGAGTATTCCTCTTTGTGAAATATTGAATATTCATGTGATTATAGGCCGTTCCGATAGCAGATGAGATTGTCATATGTCGACACGTACAGGAAACATTGCATCCCTCCTCAGTTCCGTCGCCTAACTAGACGTACTGGAACAATCTGTAATCGAATGTTGATAGGTGAGTGCACATATAGAAAATGACTTCTCAGAATATGGTTCACACATTATGCGGGGAAGCACCAGAGACTTCATTGTTTGTAAGTGCCTTTCTTCAAGTTGACGGTTCACTAGTTGTCAATGGAGTTGAAGATTGAACGATCAATTCTTGGTTGTTTGCTCAAAATCAACTTCCCCGATTTTCGCGGAGGCATCAATACGACAGTCATCGTCTCATCGGTCGCTGTTCAGAAAGAAGAGTGAAACATCGTCAGAAGTAATATAACGATTTATTATTGTAATATTTGTTTACAGACCTTAGTTCGCTTATTCCTTTTATATGTTGGTGTAACAATAAACAAATCTAAAGCGGCAGATCAGTGTTTTGGTTTTTGCGTCCGTTATAACCAAGCGTTCCTGAGAAATCTTCGAAGAACAGCGTGGGCCCGAGCGTAGCGAGAGCTGGGCATTAACGGTTTATGAGAAGTGATTGACAGTTTCTGACGATGGAAACAGATCTGGCGGATTGAAACAGTTGGTGAAAGTTTGGATAGTCGCCGTTCATTTTTCCTGGTGCCGGTCAAGTCCTCTTTGAACAAGCAATATCTGGAACTTTTTGGAATTGGGTCAAGTTCAACAATGCCTGGGTCAAAGAAGGGACAGAGTGTCTTGGATGCAAACAGGAAAGTAAGTCATGGTGACTTGTCTGTTAATTGTAACGATGTGTCTGATGTTAAGTATGACATGGTTGATATTACTGTTTCGCCGTTCAGGGATAATAGGAACATCAAACTCCCTAAATTTGAACCACGGTGTTTTGATGGAAACCCTGTCGATTATTTACAATTTGTGAAGGAGTTTGAGATCATGTTGAGTGGTTTTTTATTAAATGATGAATTGAAATTGATGTATTTGATGAGATATTGCACTGGAGATGCTGCAAGAGCTATACAGTTTTGTAAGTTTATGAAGCCAAAAGAGGGCTACGATGAGGCTATGAGCATATTACGTCAAAGGTTTGGAAGACCTTCGATGATTGCAGGGAAATTATTCGAGGCTGTTAAGGGTAATGATGGTCTATTACAGGATGACTCCCAGGCACTCACTGAGTTTTTAGATAATTTGCTAATTTACAAGAATGGAATGATTTCGATGAATCGCATGAGTGACCTCAACTCGAGGTTTATACTAGAAGTAATAGCAAGACGTCTACCTACTCGACTGCAAAGGAAGTGGGTGAAGATGAGCTCCCATATGGAGGATGAGGGTATCGAGCCAAAGTTTGATGATATCCTGAAATTGGTAAATACTAGTGTCAATCAATCTATGAGCAAGTTCACCAGTCTATTACATCTCACTCCTAGAATAGAGCAGTCTGAGATCAAAATGCAATCATTGATGACGAGTAGGCCTCAGAGAGGTGGTTATCGAGAAAGCTCCATGATGTCTAGTAATGCATATAGACCTAGTGAGTGTAACAGGTTTCGTAGTACATCCCCAACTGATAAGTTACAAGATGCAAGACAAACACGGTTGTGGTTTACACGTGTGCAAGAGGTGCATACAGAAGTGAACTGTGAACCGGTGAGCAAGTTCAGTGATAAGCTAAATGTATACTCCAGGTCTGACTCCGAATTGTGTGACGATAACGGTGCGGTCAGGAAGTCTGTAGTTGCAACTGGTAAGCCATTGTTGAATAGAGTGTCACAGAATAGAGTTACTGCTTCAGGGTGCAGTTCTGACTCCAAAAGTTTACAAGGTATTACTAGTCAGAGTGAAGTTATAAAACCTTTTATGATTTGTGAGGAGGAACCGAAATTGTCTACTTCTGTTATTAAAGAGTTTGAAAATGATGAAGTTGACGGTAAAGTGAATATTCGTGATAATGATCATGATACTTCACAGTTGTCTTTGGTTGATCATTATGAGATGAGGGATATGCCTACTACTGCTAAGTTAAATAAAGGTTCTGTACAACTACAACGTGAAGTAGAATTGAACGCAGATGCAGTTCCAAAAGGTGTGCATACTTGTGAGACAGTTAGTGCAATTGATCAGCGTGTAGCCCACCTATCATCAGATGATAGTGCTAAACCCGAACTAGTAGTGAAAGACAGCAGTGGTGGTAATCTTGCAGTTGGACAACTATCTGAGAGCCGAACAAGAACAGCTTCTGATCCACCACCAAGTTCATCACCTTGTGTCACTCAGTCATCGTTGGTGCTGTCATCCACAATGAAACAGACACCCATCAACTCAAGTATCTTGTGCAATGACTATGGTAGTATCAGTTCGTTTGAAAGGACGAATATCAATGGTCAGTTTAGTGAGGATAAGCCAAGTGTAAAGGAGAGAGTTATTGTTAAATTGACTTGCACGAATAAAGGCATTTCTAGTTTCAAGTTACTATTTGAATGTTATTATCTTTGGTGTAAATTACTCTGTTTCTACACTTGGTTGATGAGATATGTCGTGTGTTTGTTGGTCATCTATATTCTACGATACAATGACATGGGCGTGTTGCCGTTCAGATTTGAGGATATAGCTGACAGAGGGAAGTTAGCAAATGAACTCTGCGACGATTTTCCAACCTAGAGCGTCAACCTGAGAAGGGTTGTAGGCGTACTGCTGTAAGTCCTACAATTCTTCAAAGGGTAGCGCATCAATGAGCAGTCCACTGTGCTTGGTGTGTGATTTGTACATATGTTCATATTGTATATTCTGAATTGATATCATCTTTCATCTAGCTGTTGGTAATTCTGTTTGTGTTCGGACGACTTCCACTTGGATCATCAACCTGAGAAGGGATATAGGCGTACTGCTGTAAGTCCTACAGTTCTTCAAGGGTAGTTTGTCGTGTCAGAATCCACAACATTTGATGTGTTGATTGTACATATGTTTGTGTTAAATAGTTGTGTGAGTTCCAATTGATGTAATTGTTGGTTAATCTTGTTTGTGTCCGTACATTCCACAAATTACAATCGTCAACCTGAGAAGGGTTGTAGGCGTACTGGTGTAAGTCCTCCAATTCTTCAAAATAATTCCACCAAGACATGATCCGCGAGGTTATTTGTACTGTTTGTGTATACGTGTGGTGTGTCTTCGCAATTTGTGATTTTGGATCAGTTGTGTTTACTCGTTGTTTTCGTGCCTTGTTTTTATTGCATAATTTTGTTAAACTTTTCGTCGTGATTACTTCTGAAGTTGTTTCTTGTCTTCTACATCCATGAATGAATTGATTGATGTTAGAGACAGCAGATGGGTCGTATACGCCGGGGAGGTTAGGCTATTGCTGAGAATGAAACGCACACGGAGATAATTGTTAGCTGCGGTCCGACACGCCGGGGAGAAAGAGTGTAAACGACTGAGGCTCGCATGCATCACCGCTATTAGAACTGAGGCAGAATGAGTGACCAGCGATTTCAGTGGTAATTGGTAGTGAGTAGATTAGGATGTGCGTAGAGTATCGTGAGGTGGTGCTATGGTCACATTGCATTCTGCAGGAGTCATTTTAGCAAGCGGCGATTGTGTTGCAAGATGTCAAGAGGAGGTCTCTGTCTGGACGCGCAGGTCGTCATTGATGTGTGAGATTGTGCTGTGAGTATGCTTGTGGTGTGTTGGCTTTTCTGTTTGTTTTCCATTTCAGCTCTGTCCGTGTGACCCAGGTTCTCGCAATGGCATCAAAGTCAACGTGCATTGATCGTGATGGAAAAAAGGGTTGGATCCATCTTTTGCCGGGGAGTGTCAATGGAGTTGAAGATTGAACGATCAATTCTTGGTTGTTTGCTCAAAATCAACTTCCCCGATTTTCGCGGAGGCATCAATACGACAGTCATCGTCTCATCGGTCGCTGTTCAGAAAGAAGAGTGAAACATCGTCAGAAGTAATATAACGATTTATTATTGTAATATTTGTTTACAGACCTTAGTTCGCTTATTCCTTTTATATGTTGGTGTAACAATAAACAAATCTAAAGCGGCAGATCAGTGTTTTGGTTTTTGCGTCCGTTATAACCAAGCGTTTCTGAGAAATCTTCGAAGAACAGCGAGGGCCCGAGCGTAGCGAGAGCTGGGCATTAACGGTTTATGAGACGTGATTGACACTAGTCCTCGAAGATTCCCAGGTGAATTGAATGTTTCTGACTGTCACTTCAACTATGAGACCGGTTGTCTGTGCTCAAGGTAACAAGGCAGTCGATATGTCAGAGACAACACCCCGCTGTAGGACTGATAGTCGTCATGTGGAATTGTGGTCACGTGACATGAACATGAACATGGACATGAAATTCAACTGTCCTGGTGAAGAACATGTCACCGTACTCCCAGCTGTAGTGAAGCAGAATTCATACATGCGTTGCAGTGAAATGTGTATTTCGATTCCAGTGTGAACAGTTGTTTGATTTTTATACTGATTGCAGTGTGACTTGATTATTTGATAGAATATCTGGGAGAAGCTGTGAAGATCATGGAAGACAGGAGAATGGACTTCATGAGATGTATGTTGACGTGTGATATGAGTGATGTGCTTTCTAGATGACCATCCTTATCAGAGAGCAGTTGCGTTGGTCAAAGAAATGGACGAGGAGAGCAAGCATGAATACGGTATGTCTCCTTAATAGATGATTATCATGTGCCTTGTAAGGGTGGTGTCGCGCTAACTCAGTGTTCTCTTTTGCACGACTGGATCAGATTCAGTGTGACTTCATTTCGGGTGGTTGTTGGAAGACAGAAGTCTATCCATGTATAGCCAAGTGGATCTACTTTTGATTTTGTATTTTCTCGTGACTCGCATTCCGATTTGGATATATGTTGAAAGATACAGTAAGATAGGGCAGAATGAAGTCAGCTGGTAGACCGGATGATATTCTAACTTCTCAGTAGTTCTTGAGACTGAAATGTGCTTTCCAGTTTATCGGTGAAACAAATAAACACCAATGAGAAGCCCGAAAGTAAAGTTTGCAGTCCGAGCATTTTATCATTTCGAAATAATGTGCAAATCAAATGATCTCGTGAAAGCTACTACACACATGTCAAACGCCTCTTATTTTCAGCAACCGTGAGAACCTATGAAGAACGGAATCAGTGAAGACGCATTACTGACAGGTGAATGACAAGTGATAATCTCGGAAGGTGCACGATTGTCATCGGTGGTCAGGAGACTTTTCTCTCTTTTCTCTTAATAAACGTTCATGCTACAAACTTCTTCTCGCTTCACTCCCTCCAATTTTACACGTCGATCTACTAAGTGTGCAATCTCAGTGTCAGTTGAGGACTGTGATTTAGTCTTTCATGAGTAAATCGGTGTGAGTGATTGGGATGATGATGATGGTGATGACGGTGGCCATATCGTATTTCCTCTCGAATACTCTCCTTCCAAACTCTGCCATTATTATTATTATTTTGCATTTGATAACCTGAAAGACGAGAAATGTATTCATGTATTCAGAGTGACATCAATCAGAACAGCTAAATACAGGTTGCGATTCACTTGATTCTTGATTCACTCACTTCTCAACATCGTTTCCACCACTCACTCTTGCCACAACTTGATAGTACTTCACTTAACACTATTTACCGTGAGCAATGAGGCTAATTCTCCATCTACAGAATCAATTGGAAAGACTCAATTCCAGCATACTGAAGAAATACAGTTGCACACAACACACTTCATGTGGAAAAGCTTTCATGTATACCAGTAACCATTTTGCACATTTCAGTGACCACTTTGTTTTCCGTGTGGAAATTTAATGGTACCACAGTGGTTTTGCTAACACCATATCATCTTCTTGACGAAATAAGAGACACATGCACAGAATGATGTTCAAATCAGTCTGATCGCATACTGTTTCCTGAGAAGACAACTAGTATCCCATTACTGTGATCGCATTTGCGACACTTGAAATATCTCACAATACGCATGTCCGATGCACATATGCCAAACACCTTTCATCAGATTATCGTTAGCAGAATAATCATCAGATTATCCCACTGGCTATAGAAACAATTTCAACTTCCCACCCATAGACAAATATACGCAAATTTATCACAGTTTCGCGATGAAACCATCCAGAATAGAAAAGACTTACAGGAATTCCGTGGAACTTTGTCATTCTGGTCTGTAATGTAAACGATAAGCTTTACTGTGCAATTGTTAACTATTCGGTGTATGTTGTCATGAAATAAGTGTGCAATGCTCGTAAAATCTACGGTAAAAATATGAGGACAGCGTGAGGTGAATGGTTGGTGACATCTGTTTATGTTACATTCAATATCAATGATTAAAAAAGTAACTCCTATGCCAGTGCATACCTGCATAGTTTTTAACGAGTTCGAGAAAGTCACTACGATTTTTCAAATTCCATGTCTCTTTCACAGCTATAAGGAAAGACGAATAGAGAGATAACAGATTATTCATGAACACTTGTAGTTTCGTCTATTCATGTTTACATTTCTTCGAATCAATGGGACAAACATTGTTAGGTATCAAACACTGGACTACACCGTACATCACAACCAACATTTATTCAATTCGTCTACACTACCAGTAGAGGTTGATTAGCGTTATGAAGGGAAGGAAACCGTAGGTGTGGAAATGGATCGGCTTAGATAACTAACAATATATATTTGGTTAGGATTACTTTCGTTCGTATCTCAGATGGTATATGGAGACTCGTATATTGATTAAGATGACTGCGGAATACACCTCAGAAGAGGAACTACACTGGATTGAATATCACTGTCTCGCAGTCAGTGTGTAGCAAGCATCGTCTCTAACTCTTGATACAGAGACAAATTTTGATGGGAATAATCAGGAGTTGAGCTTCCTAGAGTCTTTTCATCAAAACATGTTCACATCGATGTGGCGGTCAACAACAGCAGAAAGCATCACATACGTGATATGAATTACACATGATCATCACTGACGCTTCTAAGGAATTTCATTGCAGTAGTGTGTGGCGAAATTCAACAAGAAAAACAAACTTGTAAATATTCTGTGTATATCGATTCGGAATGACTGGCTAGCGATTTCCAGCTTACCTTGAAGGTAATCAAGTGCCCACATCAGTTGACTTTCACGTTCAGCGTTACGACGAACTGAAATAGGAATCATGAAAAACAGAGAGTTTATTTCACGTGGATGTCTAGCGAATAAGGAAATAGCCAAGAAGAAAACAGCTTGATTTGCTGAGTGGGTTCGTGTTTCGAATCGGTTGATTACACTGGACCTAAATCCGCAGTCTCTGTTGACATGTCAGCTTCTAGCCCGAATGCTTTCAGGATGTCGAAAGATTAACCTGGTGTAATTAGGTTGATGGTGGCTGACAGTTGAATCCAGCCAGGTGGCTGATTTCCTCCTATTCAGGATTCCACTGCTGGCCGCCATCAAACAAATAAAACAATCTCCTCCCAGTGATCTACGAGAATACAAACATCTCCATCTTCATATCAATATTTCTTACAACATACGGCTAATCCCTGCGGTGTGCATATAACATCAACAATAATGATCGAGACATGCACTAGTTCCAAAGGCGCTTGAAACAATCAATATTTGAGGCTACTGTTATAATTATCACCAACAGGTTTAATGAAAGGCAGAGTATCTTTGTTAACCAGGAAGTCAGTTAATTCAGACTTCAGGTGAGAAAGTGTGATGAAGCTGAGTTGAGAGACGAGGTTTCAATATAGAAAGAGTCCGCACTCAGAGGCAATAGGCTAGCAGATGTTGGTATCGAGGTAAACCAGTGTAGTTCAGTCCTTACAGTTGTGACACAGTGTGGATAATACGAAGCATGTTGTTTGTGATGATGCTGATAAAGTTACCTGATCACTGTACTTACCCAAGTCGAATTCTTCTTGAGTAAAATCCATGTCAGGCGCGGTAGCTCTTATGAGCAGTTGATCTGTATGAAAGTGAAGATAAGACATCATACACTTCTCTTACAATTGTTCTTTTAATATACAAACTTTCTTATTACTGATAAAAGTATAATACAAACTGAATCACACAGGGTAAAAATAAACCACTTCATTGTAATTCTCTCGGTTTACTGACATTCTATCATCTTCAGTTTCCCATAGGCGGTACTGTGTTCAGATATTGCATGTTCCACTTCGTCTGAAATCAGAAAGAACACGTGAGGAACTCATGATGTGGATTAATTATTCTGAGGAGAAATGCATATCATTGAAACCATCAACAGAAGACAGTGAGTTCACGGTTGTATGACAGCTCCGTAGAACGGTGCTCTCAATTCTCCTGCGGCTAAAGCAATATTCAAACCAACTTAATAGGTAATTTAAGCAAAGCTTTAACCTTCTGTTGAGGCTAAGATTCATTAGACGGTCGATAGGCAACTGTCAATCTGGTGTTCATATTTGTCGATACTCGTGAGAAGAATGCGTTCAAAGCCTCCAGAGGATTATTACGCCCTGATATATTCAAATCTGATTCACACGCCATCTGAATCATAGTGATCTCATAAGGAACCTATTCACCGTAAAATCTGATTACGCTCAATTTGATGTATTAAGGGTCACTCATGTGGTGGCTGTGTATAAATTTGCAGATGAGGATTTATGTGCGGAAAATCTATGTTAAGGCATTCCTATCACTTGTCTTCAACGACGTCACGTCGATAAAAGTATGCTATTATGGAAAGCGTTTTCTAATCGAACACAGCATAAAACTAGTTGATAAACATCGATTAACACTCAGGAATAAACTAAAAGTTGTTAAGTGGTTGGGCCACCATGGAAAACTTGCTTTCTACATGTCTTCTGTTGAATATCTCAGTATGGTTCTGTTTGCTATCATGATACTTATCGTTTGCATTTCACCTGGTCTCTACTGTCTTCGGTGACACTTGTTCCCGTGCACAGTGAATTCTTTAAACTCAGCTCCAATTTACTATTCCACCTGTGTGTGGTGGAAAAATTATAGTTATTTCTATGAATAATGGATGCGCTTCCAACAAGTATTCGGTCTTTGATTGGACACTAATAACTAGTGTAACGTGTCTAGGATTCGGTTTATGTGAAACGGATTTCTACCTCTCACTCCGTGACATGTAACCTCACGTTAGTCTACTGTACTACCTACCAGTTTAGGAGGAAAGCTGCTCATTTCGACAAATATCAGTGATCATTTTTATCACAACCAAGTACAATCAAGTCAGAGATTACGAGGAATTATCCACCATTGCAATAATGTGAACACGAGTACTCTGGTAATTCAGTTGGATTTTTTTTACCTTGAAGACAGTTTACCTTGTAACTGCATAATCTGCTACTCGCGATCCACTCCAATGAATCAGTCAAAATACATCAATTAAGATTAAAGAGCCTAGGTGGAAAGAAACAGTAATTCTTGGACAAAAGGAAAACAGCAAATTGTGTGAGACGTGTTCTTCCTTCCTACGAGCTTATCGGCAATTACTCAACACACATGAAGATATTTCGTTGGTTAGACCGCAATCATATGTGTCAGAATTTCAACACGCTTGACAATCACATTCGATCATCATTCAAATCAATGAATATCTAAATAGTAGACAAGGTTATACGAATATAATGTGCGGTCATTTCAATTCAATGCAAATCAGAATACACGACGTCATATCTCGTCAGGCGACTGATGTGGGGATTTTAGGTGGGTGAAAACAGTTTTGATTTAGTTGTGTTCTCTGAGCTGGTCGATTTAATTTGCGAAGCTCTCGTTGTCCTTCTAGACAACACCTTCAGTGCAGGTCTTAGTATGAGATGTTGACGAAGTACGCCCATGTACTTCTGAAAATCACTACTCATGTGTGATTAAATATTGCGACTTCTCTTTCGCTTTAATAATTAATTCAGGCTTCAAATGAAGCACACAAATCCTGTATGATTATCAATATGTGAATATACTTCAAATCGAATGATTGCATTTCATCTGTTTTAGAGATGGCTGCAAACCGAATGGAAAATGATTGATTGACTCACCTTTTTTGACAGATTTTTCTGCCTCACAAATCACATGAAGCACTGAAACGTGAAGAAACACATGCATCGTATTCATTTGGTGAGAAAATGAATACCAGGATATTT